CACCACATTTGACGTCGTTTTCCCCTGAAATAGATCCATTGACTTCACATCTTTGAGTACGACCAGTTAAGTATGATTTGAGTAATAGAAATGCACTTCCTGTGATTCCAACTAGTTTTAGTTTTTGCAATAAGATCTCATGGTCAACAGTATCAAAGGCTTTTTTTAGGTCTACAAATACAACCAAATTAAAAAGTTTTCTATCCATGTTTATGTACCAATCATTTGTGCAATCAAGTAAAGCTGTTGCAGTAGAATGAAATTTTCTGAAACCAAATTGATGTTCAGAAAGTATGTTATTTGCACTCAAATATTCATAAAGTTGACTATATAGGATACGTTCCATAATTTTACTAATGGCTGGTAACACAGAAATTGGTCGATAATTTCCTGGCAAGCTTCGTTTGCCATTCTTAAAAAGGGGAATTACTCTTGCAATTTCCCATTCATGTGGAAAAGTACATAAAGTTATTGCTTGATTAAAGATGTAAGTCAATGAATCGGAAATTAATGGTGCAGCAATTTTGATTATCTTGCTGGATATTTTATCCAGGCCAGTAGCTTTGCTACCAGACAGTTCACGTAATAAAAGACAAACATGACTAACAGTAACTGACTGGAATGCAGTAAATTCAGAATTAGTTTTGTCAAGGAAGTCTTTAGAATGACATCCTGGTGTACTAATTTCTTCGGCTAAATTCGGTCCAATATTTGAAAAGAAGGTATTGAAGCTCTCAGAAATTTCATCAGGGCTTGTTAATTTTATGCCATTTAAGTTTAATTCGTTTACTTTAGTTCTTTGATTTTGTTTACCAAGTAAGGTATTAATTGTCTTCCAAGCAGCTTTTGGATCTTGCTTTTCAGTCGCTATTTTATTGGAATAATATTCCTTTTGGGTTTGTCTTAGAAGATTGTTTGTTTCATTTCTGGCTTTTTTATAGTTATCCCAATCTGTTTCAAGTTTAGTGATAATTGCTTTTCTTTTCAAATTATCTCTTGCAATTATTAGTTTTTTTATATGACTAGTAATCCAAGGATTTTTTTTAGATTTTGTTTTTTTGTTTTGAATTGGGGCATGTTTATCTAGGACTTGTAAGAACAGTTGTTTCCAAATTTCCCACATAGTGTCAGGATTGTCTGCAAAAAAATAGACATGTTCCCATGTTTGAGTTCCTAGGTCTTGTAAAAACTGCTGTTCATTGAATTTTTTCATATTTCTAATTTCAATTATGTTATCATTATCTTTGTGTCGAATGTTAATCTTTCTTATGCCATAAATGAGACTGTGGTCACTAATTCCAGTATGTATTACACCACATTTGGATATTTTTCCTGGTTCATTGGTAATAAAATAATCAATAATTACTAATAGTACTCATTTGCATCATTATGTGGTAGTGAGCATCATTATGTGGTAGTGAGCCAGTATGTTTGGACAGCGGCTTAGAAAGAATATTTTATACTTCGTGTCTCGATCACATGTTAGCATTTATATGTTTTGCGACGGCAAATTTTCGCAATATATTTAGAGTTTTTTGAGGGGAAAAAACGTTTACTTCGAACACGATTAATGTTGAAAGAATGCTATTTAGTGTTATATTTTTTTTTTGTCATCGACGAAATACTTCGATCTCTGGGCATGGAGGCAGTTTTTTCTAAGTTTAGATATAGGTAATGAGAACCATATTGCCTATTGGTGTCCTAATAATAATTTTATGCCACAATAGTCCCCAAATGTTAGATCCAAAAGTGTAGTGTGAAATATGATAGTGCATGTGATGGCCTCGTGTTGTTGGCACAATGTATGCCTGTGAAAATTATGTTGAGATAAAACTGAGGAAAAACGACTTGTATTTGTATAAATGTGAACCTAAGAAATATAAGTAGGCTACAGGTGTAGATTTATGAAACATAAAATTGGAGATGCATGTGTGATTGTAAAATTGTAACGGTAAAATGTGGTGTAAAAAAATATTTGATCTGCCCAAAAGGTATGATCGCGCTGAACTTAAAAAAGCCTTTATGGAAGCACATGTAAAATATATAAAGCGAGAGAAAGAAATAGTCACGTGCCGTAAAAGTCGGTATCCCTGTACGCGGCATTTCGTCCTTCATGGAATGGTCAGCAGGGATTTGGGGCTGGCGCATGTCATGTGAAGGATAGAATTAACAATTTAGCTATATTTTTTACATACTGGGTGTCCCCAAAAAAACTATACACTGTTTGAGTTCATGTAACGTAAAACCTATATTAAAAGCTATTTCACTAAAATGAAAACCATTCTATTCACAAAGGATTAACTTAGATTTTGATATACAACATTTAATTTTCCGTACGATATTGACTTCGTATTTAAAGTTCCGAGGAGTTTTAAAAATTGTCGAAAAAACGAAAAAATTGCCGCATCAGACTAAATTGAAAGCAGTTGTCACTTACATGGAATCTTTTTAACTTCAGTGATTTTATCTTTAATTTTAGGCTGTTCCCTTGCAAATTTACTTTTGAAATAAAAATTACACTTGAACATTGATTCTTATTGGAATGAAACAAAAAAGTAATAATTTACGTTGATGTCCTTTGCATGGGCTAATTGTGATTCAAATTCGTAATGAAATACTGTAAACATTGTCGATTAGATTTTTGGATCAACAAATGATTCAAAACGCTTATGATGGCATGATTTCTAGAGCATACACAACGGTTCATTCAGGCTCAAAGACACGCTTTTCCTGATGAGTAAACTCAGTTAGTCAATTCTTTGTACATAAATTCATTCTTTTAGCAAGAATAAAAATTATCAACACGGCAAATAGTCGGCTGGCCAAGGTAGCAAAAAGTTGATGGCAACTTTATGTTAGAAGCTGGTAACAGGCATTTTCTTATAGTTTAAACCTTGGTGAACAAGACTGTGTGTGTTACCACTTCTGATTTTTGCTTCATACCCGAAAATTTGAGAATTTTTAAATTTTGCCTATTAAATTACTATGATGGCAAAAAATATAAAATCTCATGTTCTCTTATAGCCTACAAAAAATAAACTATACCACTAGAAAGATCGTAGAAAACTATATAGAAGATAATTAAGCGACTAGTGCGATTTTTCAAGCCGATTTTGAATTAAAGATGGTTAAAGTTGGCAAAATGGGCACTTATTAGCATTAATTTGGTCATTTCCGTATTTTTAGCATTAAAAACTCGAAAAAGGACTCGAAAAACTAGAAATCGCTAATTAATTGTCTTCTATATAGTTTTTTTGCGCTCTTTCTAGTGGTATGGTTTATTTTTCGTATAAGAGAACATGAAATTTTACATTTTTTTGCCATCATAGCAACTTAATAGGCAAAATTTAAAAATTCTCAAATTTTCGGCTATAAAGCAAAAATCAGAAGTGGTAACACATATAGTCTTGTTCACAAAGGCTTTAACTACAAGAAAATGCTTGTTACCAGCTTCTAACATAAAGTTGCCATCAAGTTGTACAAAATGATGTCATGGCCGGCCGTCTAAAACTAAATTGGAATTTGATATGCCGTTTTATGCTAATTTTTAACCTTTTCAGAAATGGTAGTTCAATTTCAAAACGCCAATGGTCCAGCTCTGTCAACGCGCGGAAAATTAAATGTTATATACTGCGATTGTGATTTTTAATAAAAAACGTTTTGCAATCAGGGATTGAATTACACGTTTTTACATTATATGAAGTTAATTAAATTAAGATACATATTCAAAATAAGCTATATAAGAAAATATAAAATTATTAAAACGTTAATTTCAAACTACGAATAAGTTCTAATTGCATATTGGATAAAACTATTTCTAAACCGTTCAGTTTTAGCTTTAATATAATAGATATAGATTTTTGGGGACACCCGGTATATTGTTGATATTTTTTTTAATTATTTCGTTAAATATTACAACGCAGAGATTATAACGTATAAATATTCCGTATAATATTCAAAATATATAGACCATTCAGAGTTTGGGCCACCTGTGGACTGATAACTAAATAAATATTAACCGCTGTCCAAACATACTGGCTCACTACCACATAATGATGCAAATTATGAATGCACCGCGTATAATGCTCGAACCACCGCGTATAATGATGTAAGCACCGCATATAATGCCGAAAGCACCGCGTATAATGCTCGAACCACCGCGTATAATGCTAGAACCACCGCATATAATGGTGTAAGCACCGCATATAATGCCGAAAGCACCGCGTATAATGCTCGAACCACCGCGTATAATGCTAGAACCACCGCATATAATGGTGTAAGCACCGCATATAATGCCGAAAGCACCGCGTATAATGCTCGAACCACCGCGTATAACGATTTAAGCACCGCGTATAATGCTCGAACCACCGCATATAATGCTAGAACCACCGCGTATAATGTTGAAAGCACCGCGTATAATGCTCAAAGCACCGCGTATAATGCTAGAACCACCGCGTATAATGGTGAAAGCACCTCGTATAATGCTCAAAGCACCGCGTATAATGCTAGAACCACCACGTATAATGGTGAAAGCACCGCGTATAATGCGAAAAGCACCCAACAAAATGTCGTTTGATCACTTAAGACAGCTATGGCTTTCCATAATAGCCTATCGAAGGGGAGATGGCTGTGAAACTCATTGGAATAACAATATAACTCATTATCTGTGTTAGTCAACGTTTATTCATAAATATGGTCCTTCACCGTCACGTGTGTATTGTATTTCTGCCTAATTCACCAATAGCAATTTCCAGTTTCCCTACTGTTCGAGTGACGGATAGGTGACTTTCCTAAAACATTGCTATTGGTTAGTTGGGTAAAAATACAATACACACGTGACGGTGAAGGACCAGATTTATGAATAACGTTGACCAACATAGATAATGTGTTATATTGTTATTCTAATGAGTTTCACAGCCATCTCCCCTTCGATAGGCTATGGATTGACCAAAGCCGGAAGTGATTAGCACGAGCTATCAAATATTTTATACTGTAGCTCGTCACTTGAATGTAAATATTGGAACGCCGGCCGATCATGATTAGCCAATGTCCGAGCAACAGCACAGTTGATCGGACAATTGTCAGACCCAAGCGAAATCCACACTGAATTATGTATGTAGAGGCTGTACTTGTCAGCCAAGTTGTATGGTCTTAGAATTCACTGGAATACGTTTATTTGGGCGACTAAAACATTTTTAAAATTTTAACCCCTGGTCCCACATCCTGGTCACCCCCTTTATCCTTGTCTTCCCATTAAATAGACACCGATGTGGTCATCAGGTGTCCGCTTAATAGAGATTTCATCACAGTATGACATAATTCAATGAAATTCAAACATCTTTGCCTTTAACCCATTTGTTCAGATGTTCATTTTCTGGGAGTGATTTCGTTCGTTCCGAATCTTAACATTGCTATGATTATTTTGTCACGTAGTTTTACCGGAAGTAATTCCTCACCTGCATGTACTGTACAAACTATTTTCACTTTCTGACCTATGGCTATATTATGACTGTACTGCATTTTTTGAGGCTGATATTTGACAAGCGAAATATTGATGTTCGAAACAAGCCAAATGTTTTGAATGTATGAAAATGTTTCAAATTTTAGAAAAATTGACTCTAAGGCTAAGCCAGAGGTACTAAGCGAGACGAGGCACCACACTTAGTTACGGTAGTGTACAGATTATTGATGATCAAATTATAACAGCATGTTTATTTACTCCTTTGTTAGATTATCCAAAGAAACCGTTTGACTGGGACAGTTACTGCAAGAATACCAATGGAAGAAAAGCTCCGTCATATCTTTTTCAACCTGTAAGTACAGTGTATAATAATTTTATGGTTCACAACAATGAGCGAGCTTCAGCAGGGGTTAGGCGTTAGGGTAATTAAAGATGTCCACACAAAATAGGAGGAGTGAAGCTAAATTTTGGTGGGGTTGAACACTTTATAAGAGGGGTTAGAGAGATTCAAGGGGGGGGGGGGGGGTTAACCCGGCCGCCCCAGTAGATCCGCCCATGCATAAAAGTTATTTCATAATCTACAGTATCACATTAATATTCTCACTTATCCTAAACATGTAACGAGAATTTCTGATTTACTTCAGTGCACGTACTCACATGCAGATGCATTAAACGTCTATTGGAACGTATTGTGCGTCACAGCAGGAGTTCACAGGCGTAGAAAGAGTCTTGTGTCATACTGCTGAGTGCTGCAGACAAATATTGTTACGAAGAAAGGTTTTCTCCATTTCGTCCATACGTAAATTTTGCCTTTAAGCCATTTACATGAGATGACTTTCGGCTGTAAGCCATTTACATGAGGTGACTTTCGCCACAGAAAGATTTTGCCGTTGCCTGTTCAATTATAGATTGGGAAAACTCGAAATTGTGTGAAAACACTCCGCCCTCTGGGCGTCGTGTTTCCACACAATTTATCGTTTTCCCAATTTCCACTCATGTTAATTGCTGCCGAAGGCAGCACACTATTCTTAACATGAAGTATTGCGTGTCTGTGTTTACTTGTGCCCAGTCTCTTTGGCCGAGTTATGTATAGTCGATCGAGATTTCGATTTGTGTCTTTCTCGTCTGTCTGTCTGTCTATAAATTCCGGGGAAATAATTAAGGCTTCAGGAAGTTTTCTTAAACGAAGGGGGCGGTCAATAATTATTTTGTATTGCGCTCACATGAAAATCCAACAGACCTGTATGGTCGTATCACAAATCGACAATATTTGGAATAATTCAGGTAAGGATAGCTTTATTTCTTTCTGGTGATATTACATGAAGGTATTTATATTTAGATCTGCTGTTTAGCGTTCGATATGAGGTATTTGAAACAATAAATCGTCTTTATATTTAGGAGTCAAAATGGTTTATTTATTATTTTGTTTGTGTAGCGATGAGTTTATAGTGTTCATTCTAGATGTTCATAGACATAGCAATTTGCTTTCAGAACGTTTTAAAAACAAACGTTGAATGTTGTGTATGCTTTATAATGTAAAGATATTTCCTATAGCAACCCATGCAGTTAATAACCCAGTGACACTGAGTGTGGATTGTTTCGGCATATATAAATTTACCAGCAGTACTACATGTATTAATATAACATGTCAACCAATTTTTGTACAAAGTATGGTGGTCTGTAAAAATATATCTCTGATATATGTCCATTGTTAGCATAAATATGAAATAATCCTACCGGCTACAGGCCTACATTCATATATTCACCCACCTGGTTGTGTGCATGTGTCACCACATTTCAGGGTATGCTATATTTTCGATAATGCTCACAATTTCTTATTATATAGTTTTGCAGTTCTGACTGAGTACAATCTTAGTCATTACAAATGAACGGTGTCATCTGAAGCAGATGTATTAAACAAAAATGTCAACAACAATCTCCCCATCAGCAGATTGTTCAGTTGTTCTGTGAACATAGCCTTGAAGGTGTCATTAAAATGATAATTGGGACAAAAACTGGCTTATTTCTATATATGAAATTGTTATTAAATTCTACATGTCCAATGGTTCATTCAAGTATTATAATTCTTTATATATATGATATTGTACAGTATTCCGTGGCAATTAAGCTAGCCACGGCAACTGGTCATGCTATGCTAACAAACCTACAATGCAAGTCATTAAAAGGTTGCATAGCATGACCTGTTGCTATGGCTATTATAATTATATACACAAAAGCAAGAAGTTATAAGCATTGAAGGTATTCATATAAAATCACCCATGCCAACAAAGTAGAATTAGAACATTTAGCTGACCTTCGACATTGTGCAATGTGTTTGGTATTCAAAATGCACTTTTCCTATCCCATGATTAGGCCTTTTTACATGATGGAAGGTGGGGTGATTTTGAGTATTGAAATAAGTCACTAGGCTAAATGAAAGTTCAAATGCTGGTTAACAGAACTGAATTGTTGTAGACCATGACTTATTTCAATACATCGAAATCGCCCTGCCTCGTATCTCGTCCTGGCAAAGCAGGATCATATAAACAGCCCCCTTATTCAGCAAATTCATGCTGGCTTTGATCCATTGGGGATGAGGCAGCACTTTCCTTGCGATAGTAACTTCTAGTATAACTGTATATCAACACGAAAAATGTTTTATAGTTGTTAAATATAAATTTTTTGACAAGTGGTGTATCGTGGTTGATTGGTCAAAAAACTACCAGAGTATAGTTCGATGATAGTTCGTAAATTTGATAGTTCGTCTCTACCACCAATGATAGATCGTCTCTATACTGAAACGCATAACATTGATAATTCATCCAGTCCTAATACAGTAGTGGGCGAAAAATTGAGAGCTTAAGAGCTTAAGCCAGCGACGTTTTTGACAACTATTGTATTGTGTTGTATGCCTCTAGTATATTACAACTGAAAGGGGTATGTAGTTTAATTTTCGTGCTTTTATGGTTACACTATAACTTTTTAATTCTTGATTGAGTCGGTTTTCTTCTATGTACCACCGAGGTGATTATGTTTAATAATCACCTTGAATATTAATTAGCTGAAAAGATGAAGGAAAACTCAGGAAATCGTCGTTCAAAGCAGACGAAACAGACAAAAACTTTGTTGGAAAACCTCGTCAATGATGAATTAAATATGTGACATAAATTCCTCCTTCTCGGTGTTTATCCTATACTTATATTGTTGTGTTGGGTTTTTTTTCAAACCAGCATCGTTCAGAAAATCTCTTCACACCAGGCATGAAGTTAGAAGCGGTGGACCTGCGTGAACCGGCATTAGTGTGTCCATCCACCGTGGTGGATATACGAGGGCCTCTGCTAAAGATACATTTCGATGGTTGGGAAGTGACGTATGATCAATATCTTGATATGGACTCGCTTGATTTATTTCCTGTGGGATACTGTGAAATAACTGGTCATCCACTACAACCTCCAGGGTAACGAATTTTTTTTTATTCCGATATGAGAAAAAGAAGCGTATTGCCGTGATGCTTGAGCCCGACACAAACCTGGAAATGCAAAAGATAGTTCATCTCATAATTTGTCGTTTAACAATTACGTCATGAAATTGTAGGCGTTTTTTTTATTTCCCTGCCTTCCTTTTCATCACTTATCATCAGCCTACCTATAATAGTTACGTTATCGCTCCACTCCTGAAACAAAAAAATTAGGGAGGATTTATTGTATATGTGTTTTGATCAAGCTTGAACCGCATAGCCGTTTATTAATAATGCATCATCGTTTAATGCTTAACCTTACTCAATACTTCTAATAATAATATACATGAAAAAATACTCGTAATACGTGGACAGCGGCTAAACAAAAGACACTTTTTGATTTAAGTTTTGACTTCTGACCAGGGGCGTAAATCCTCGGGGGGTTGCATGGGGGTGGGTGACACTCCCTAATGTTTGAGGAAAGTAATTTTGTAGGGCAAATTTATCAAATATGAGTACTAAACAAAAAACCTAGAAGACCAGTTTGAGCAATTATAAACATTTGCTATATTCCTATTACGTCGTTTTCTAACCATAAGAATTCGGTAAAATCTTCCCCCAAAGTACATGAAATGGTATTTCAGAAACTCTAAATTGTGTCTCTGCCGCTACGCCTACGGACCCTCATAGGTCTTTTTACTTGTTACAGCATCCTCACGTTCTTTTCTGTCCACAACCTTACCTTTACCAGTAACCCTTTATCCCATCCGTAATCAACTGTCATCAAAATAGATACCCCCTGCCCCTCGGTGATGGCATAATTGTTGAACAGCCTCGTACGCGACAAACAAGGGAATCATCTGTCTCGACGAACTATCTCCGTAGTATAAGATCCATGCGTCATGGCACAGGATCCCTCTGTATAAAATACGCGCAAGCCATGCACAACGTTACCTCATCATGAAAATACAACTGCATGTGTGGCGTTCCTAATCAATCCTACAGTTGAAAAACTTGATTCGAGTATTTTGAATAAATTTCAATTTGAGGAGTTTTGAAATTCCAAATATACGTAATTTTAATAACAAACTTGATTAGGGTATTGAAATGTATAAAATTATTACGGAATTATTCATGTTTTAAAAACCCACTCTTTGATCAATCTGTAATTCTATTCATTCGTATAAGTTGTATGTTTTAGCTATAGCCTTATTCCTTTAGCTTGTCATTTCAACTTTGCGACACGAGGTAACGTTGTGGATGGTTTACAAGCGTGAGAAACCCCGTAAAAGCGTTTGAAAGAGCAACAAATAATATTCTTATACCATGCTAGGAAAATTACGTGGTGAAAATGCTACCTCCTCCGTAGGCCATACAATCTGTGAACTCTAACCATATATTAACCGTAATTTCTATGTCGACTAATACCACTAACAATCTTAATGTTGTAATATAATTTTTCAAGAATGTCTATCCTGTCAGATGATAAACAATAATTGTCTACCAATATATAAATAAATAAATAAACTACTTTACTAAAAACGTAATGAAGCTACCTTAAGTAAATAAATTATAAAAATAAATGGCGGTAAACTAAAACTATGAGATCGTATTGTGCAAAACGTCCGTGTTGGAATTAACAAGGGTTTGATGTATGGATTCAGGAAAATTGAAATAAGCCGACCAAAAAATATTAGCTAATATTATAAGCTTCGATTGCATTTGGCTAAAACGAAGCATATCGTCATAATTGTTGGTAAACTTAATTACTTAGTTGTATGTTCTAAGTACAAAACATTCGCATCCGAGCTCTATCTGATTTACTACGGCTAACCTTGTAAGGCTATATTATACACTGCACTGGATAGCTCTCCGTAGCGACATGAAAAAACACCTATCCGTTAAATGGACGCTATTTTCAGAGGAATTATTGCAAGGGAGAGATGTTGTTTCGCTCAGCTTCTGAACGTTGTACATTACGTATCGGATAGGGGCATTTTCGCGCCGCTACGGAAAGCTATCCAGTATACAGTGTAAACGTATAACCTAAATCAGATACCGATTCGTTTATTTTATTTCATGTTTATTGAGTGTCTCACTAATTGATGAGCGGATTTCCCAATATTAGAATGTTAGGGTTTGTAATCCAAGTGATCATATACATTTTAAGACCTGACCAGGAACGACTGCGAAAAATGTAGCACAAGGTCCTCTGGTAGGAATTGAACCTACGGCCCTGCGATTCCGGTGCAGCGCTCTAACCAACTGAGCTACAGAGGCCAGCTGTTGAGCTGTAACCGTAAGTTCATGTATATATAGTGTATATATATATATATATTACAGCTCAACAGTGTACAGTATGTATATTACAGCTCAACAGCTGGCCTCTGTAGCCCAGTTGGTTAGAGCGCTGCACCGGAATCGCAGGGCCGTAGGTTCAATTCCTACCAGAGGACCTTGTGCTGCATTTTTCGCAGTCGTTCCTGGTCAGGTCTTAAAATGTATATGATCACTTGGATTACAAACCCTAACATTCTAATATTAATTCCACCAAGTGAAGTGCAAGAAACCACATCATTCAAGTCCATCTTATCACAACCCGCACACCCGATTACCTATATATACATGAACTTACGGTTACAGCTCAACAGCTGGCTTCTGTAGCTCAGTTGGTTAGAGCGCTGCACCGGAATCACAGGGCCGTAGGTTCAATTCCTACCAGAGGACCTTGTGCTGCATTTTTCGCAGTCGTTCCTGGTCAGGTCTTAAAATGTGTATGGTCACTTGGATTACAAACCCTAACATTCTAATATTAATTCCACCAAGTGAAGTGCAAGAAACCACATCATTCAAGTCCGGATTTCCCAATAGGCTACTACTGTCCAATTGATAGGGGGATCCAAGGTGCCTACGATTTAACGTCCTTATGTTGAGCGATAAGTCTTTAAGATCTTGAGTAGAGGTCTGAACAAGTTTTGAACCCGGGTCTCCCAGCTTGAAAGGAAAGCGTGGTGACCACGGCACCACAGTTGATACGTGATGATTTTGTTGAGCTAAAGAATCTGATCACCAGTATCTCAGTTCCTTTAATCCGCTGTTTGACGTCTCTGTTTATACTTGGTGACTTGTTTCAAAATCCTATAGCGTTATTGGTCAAAGTCGCTCCCACCTTTGTCGACATCCCGCTTTCCATGACTTCTCGCCTTCCGTGACATCACACGAGAGTGGGGAACATGCCATTTAGTCCAAATCAGTTAAAATCATGTATACAATCAATGTACTTTATTCTCTCTGTATACCTAAACCGTCTTGGGGACATGGTTGGCAATATCAACACAATTATGTTAATTTTGAATTGGGTAAGCATAAAACAAATTAAAATGAATAAACAAAAATTAAAATCTACTAGGTTTTAATTTAAAAGTTTAATATATAATCTTAAAATGGTATAAAGTCAGTTAATCAAGTACTGTAATTGACCTTAGAAGTCGTTACATCACGTCACTGTCAAACAATGAATATTTGAGCCATATGTTTCCCACATTGCATGCAACCTTTATGTTTAGATGGATTGAAAATTGCGTGACGTAAGCACTTCCGGGGTCAGTTGCTAACTAATTACTAATTCATTAATACACCATAACAATTAATGCTACCCTAAGTAAAATCAAAAAGACTTTAATCTTGATTAATTATTAAGATAATTATAATGAGTAAACGATAGCGAGATGACGTATAGTAATAACAAATGAAAACTAAAAACTAACTTGATAATAATAACATTGTATATAACAGCTGTTGCGTGTTACATATTTCATACATCAAGTTCCCTAGGCTTAGCATTTTCAGATTGGATCATATGTCTCAATATTAGTTCCAAATCTTACATTTACTACTATACAGTTAAAACGACTGTGTGTTACGAATCATGTAATGTGAATTTCGGATAGTGTGGATTACCCCAAACTTAACAAGATGTGTTGTTTACTTTAATTTCGTAGACCACGACCAGATCCATACACCCAACCTGGTTATCAATATGGTGAATCTCACATGAAGGGGTTGGCTGGAAATAATCTTACACCGGCGGCTCCTAAGATGACAAAACCATTGAAAACTGAGCAGGTCAACAAGCCCAAGCCAGGTAAGCGTGAAGTTTTCATATATTCTCGCACGAAGTATGCAGCTATTTCAATTAAGGTTGTCCACGAGCAAAGCGGAAAAGTCGAATACGAGCTCGAAAGGTTGCTGGGAATCGCTGTGAAAATTAATTAATTTGTCAGCGATTCCCAGCAGCCTTTCGCGCTCGTGCTCGACTTTTCCGCTTTGCTTGTGGACAACCTTAATTGAGATAGCTGTATATCAATGGAAGAAAGATGTGGATTGAGGGGAATTCAACTACCTGAAAAATACAAGTAGAACTTTGACGTTTCCAGCGAAGGCCCTTCCTCGGGAAGTTACAGTAGTATAGCCAATACTCGACGAAGGCTTCGCTCGAATTTTACTTGTATTTTTCTGGTAGTTGAATCCTTCTGAATCCGCAGTTTTCTGGTTCTATTGTCACTAGCACCCGTTCGAGTATATATCAAATAGTTTTTATAGAATCTACATGATCAGTAGATGGCCGGATTCTGAGAGGGAGTCTGGGGAAGTGTGCCCTCCCCTGGTAATTGTTGCACCTACCTTGAAAAGTTATCCACCTACCTCCCCGTGGTAAAAGGGCATAGTACAAAACATGGACTGGACTGGACTGGACTGGACAGTTGGACTGGACAGTTGGACTGGACTGGACAGTTGGACTGGACTGTTGGACTGGACTGTTGGACTGGACTGATTTTTACATTTTCTCTATTCTTGACTTGCACGTCACCCGCCATGTCAGATGGCATGGCACAAAAGAATATTTTATCACAGAATAGATATACCATGTCATGTCTATTTTGTGATTTTATCGATCGGAACATTGTCTGGTGTGTACCAGGAGGAGATTGGTTGCAAGTCAAGAATATAACGTTTTGCACCTGAATTACTTTTGATTTTCGGAAATTGAAATATTTTACCTTCGTCGATGACCTCACTTTATAACTGGAGTGAAATCTCAGTAAGAAACCCCAGTAAGTAGAAGAGAATACAATACCAGACATAAACTGCTTATCTGTCTTTGCTATGGGTAGCCTGCTCGCATACGTATTAAATTTCGATATTTCAGTCAGGGGCGGCGCTAACCCTCTTCGAGTGGGGGTGTGTGAGTGATCTTTTGCCGACTGTTGTTTGGTAATTTTGCCGAGTCATTAGCCTATAGTGAGGGTCCTGAAGTGTGTGTGTGTGGGGGGGGGGGTCCCAATCCCATTTTCCACCTGAAATTTTGGCAAAATCCCAGTCCCAGTTGGATTTTTATTAGAAATCCCAGTCCGAGTTATTGAAATCCCATTCAATAAAAAACATTTATTTATCGGTAGAATAAACAGTTTTAAGACCTTTTAAGCCACCATGTGTGCAAGTGGCGGACACTTTATGAAATGTTGGGGGGGGCGGCTCGTGCCGAAGGCACGGAAAATTTTTAAATTTGAATCCCGGAAATGGCATGTGCATCATTCTGACACATGCATAATCAGAAAACCCAAAATTCCAGGCGCCAGAGTATGCCTGTTCGCAGGTAATGCTGTGAATAATATAGTTAACAACAAAAATCATGACGAAAGACACCAAAAACGGATCAAAATTGGGAATCGACTCACATTCCTTCAATCCCATTTTTGAGGACTTCATTTCCCAGTGGCCAAATCCCAGTCCCAGCAACCCAAATCCCATTTTCCCAGTCTAAAAATAGATCAATCCCAGTTCCCATTTTACCCCTTCACGGCCATCTATAGTAAATGTGCATGTTTAAATGCGCTTTATTACCCTCTATTAAGTCGGTTTTCCACTAGCGGATTTTTCTGCGCGAAGCGACCTTTTTCCTTTGTCAGCATCCATTTTGCAGCCCTCGAAAAGTCAAAACCGTCAAAATTGAGGTTGGCAAAAGAGGGCCTAAGTCGGCACATAAGTCTGACCTAAGTCGGCACATCTCTGCATTTCTAATTAAAATCTGTTCCACGTCTTGGAGCACTATTAATCACGCATTTACGCATCATTGAAATCGGAATATAACTGGAATGTTACCTCCAGCCGGAAAATTCGAAAGTTGAAGCCAAATTTTAACTCCAGACGCGCGAAATTTGATCTTCAAACATCTAACGTATATACACAATACCCGTCAGTTTTTAAACCTTACACCGTAGTGTGTCCAGTTAATCGAATTCGCTGACATTTTAAAAGCTATCAGCATAAAAAATTCTTACTTTGGTTGAATTAAGGTGGGCAAAAATTTGCATTTAGCCCGGCATTGCCGAATGCCGACCTCGTTTTCGAGGACTGATTTTGCCACGTCTTGCTGACGTAATAAGTGATACCGACAAAGGAAAAAGGTCGCTTCGTGCGAGAAAATTCGCTAGTGGAAAACCGACTTTATTGCCTCTTTTACAGAACAGTATAATAAGCAACAACAACAACAACAACAACAACAACAACAACAACAACAACCACCAAACACCAAACAAATTTAATTACCTAATTATGATTTCAATAATATTATGTTTTTGGACTAGCTGCCAGAAGTGAAGATACTGTATTCGAAAAAATTTGCATTGCTGCATGTGGTTTCTTTGATGCATGCTATTCGTGATATTCGGTTTGAATTCAATTATTCAGGAGGTCAATTTTGTTTTTTTCAGTGGTTATCTTTAGCCAATCCAGTTTTGCCGACTGAGATAACAATTTGCCGATTAGCTGACGAGTGGGGGGGGGGTGTTCCACCCCCACCCTGTAGCGCCGCCCCTGATTTCAGTCTGCATGGCCATGGGCGTAAGAAGATCGGTATTTTGGGGGGCTCATATTCATATATTCATAAAGCAATCAATTTCAAAAGAAGTAATGATGCAGAACACGAATATATGAATATGAGCCCCCCCAAATATCGATCTTCCTACGCCCATGGCCATGCAGACTGAACTATCGAAATTTATTACGTATGCGAGCTGGCTACCCATAGCAAAGACAGATAAGTAGTTTACGTTTGGTATTGTATTCTATTCTATTCTACCTACTGGGGTTTCTTTCGCTTTAAGAGATTTCACTCCAGTTATAAAGTGAGGTCACCGGCGAAGGTAAAGTATTCCAATTTCCGAAAATCAATTCCGAAAGTAATTCAGGTGCAAAACGTTATATTAATGACTTGCAACCAATCTCCTCCTCCTGGTACACACCAGACAATGTTCATCGATAAAATCACAAAATAGACATGGTATATCTATTATGTGATAAATATTCTTTTGTGCCATGCCACCTGACATGGCGGGTGACGTGCAAGTCAAGAATAGAGAAAATCAAAAATCAGTCCAGTCCAGTCCAATTGTTCAGTCCAGTCCAATAGTCCAGTCCAACTGTCCAGTCCAGTCCAACTGTCCAGTCCAGTCCATGTTTTGTACTATGCCTGGTAAAAGTTAAAGAAATGAGATAAATAATATCTATTTGAGAAATATTTATGTGTTGCTCAGGGTCTACACCTTGTATGGAATTTTTTTCTGTAAAACTGAGACACTGATAGCCATTCATTTCTGTGTCAAGTATCATTTTAACTGCGATGTTTCAAAAGAAACTTTGTAGTAATGTAATGAGTGGCACACCGGATGATTCCAGCTATAGACTACATTTTGATGTAGGCAGGAAGAACAAAATCCATCACCACAGCTAGAAAGAGCATGTTAAAATTAGTAAAATTGCAAAGTTTGGCCGGGAAATGTTGCAAAATGCGGAAAATATAGCCCCGCGAAATATTAATTTGTATTACGCGCGGGAAAATGCACCACATTTGGGCCGAAAGTGGTGCATTTTCCCTTGCGCAATACAAATTAATACAAAATTTGCAAATTTCCTAGGGCTATATTTTCTGTATTTTTACAACATATCGCAACCAAACTTTGCAATTTTACTAATTTTAACATGCTCGTTCTAGCTGTGGTGATGGATTTCGTTCTTCTTGCCTAGATCAAAATTTAGTCTGTAGCTGGAAGCATCTATTGGATGAATCGTACAGTCATAATTCATATACAGTACATGCATACGTCACGCAGTTGACTTTAGGTGGAGGGGTACGTTCTAAGCCATAAAATTCCATGGGGGCCATGAGCCACACCGCTGCACCTCTTCTAAACTTTCCTCCACCTCCCTCGCCATTTCCACCAAATCTGGCTTTGGATCAGTATAATTATTCTTCACATTATTTCCACAGTGAAATCTCCATTGCATCCAGAAAGTATGTACTTTGTGAACAGAAGATGCTGTTGTGGTCCATATCTCAACGACGCCAAGCTCCTCAAAATTCCCGAAACGGTCAAAGGCGTTTTAGGCGGCTCAGACAAAAACAACATCGTACGCAAATGTCTACAACTTCTGGTAACGTCGAGCGAAAATCCCAAAAATGTTCTTGACCTGCTCTGTCACGAATTCTACCAAACGAAGAAGCACAGTGATTTAGATTTAGCCGCTACGGTCTGTATTGAAATTAAAACGAAAAACGACAAGCGGATCGTGCGACGTGTAAAGATCGCTTCGAAGGCGGACACGATACGGCCCAACATCGAACGTGTACTTCAGTTACTGGGTTGTTGCCCAAACGTGTTTGCGAAAGACAAATACCCCACAGAACAATGCGACGCGTGTCGTGTGAAACAGACTAGTGAACTGAATGTGAACTATACAGAATTCACACAGCAACCTGTGAGCGTGCCTAGTAATGAACCTGTATGACCATGCAAGATTGCGTATGGGTCTTTACCTTCAGAAAGATCTAATGAATGTAAATACGTTATTATATTATAAATAATGTCTTGTCTTCTGCACCACTCTGGATGGGAAACTCGATTGTGTACATAAGCGCATGGTGAATTATGCGTCTGAAATAAGACGTTCGGTTGATGCGAAATTCGGTACATAGTATATTTTTCTTGATAACGCATGATTCTATTTTTGTCTCAAAATGCGAATTATAAATATACACAAGAACGAAATTGTGATATTGTGGAATAAATGTGTGTTTATTGTAAAAGCGTTTGCTTGTTTGTCGTGGATAAATAATCGTGTGTCGTGGGTTTTAGCCGTCTGTAAATAGTCGAGTGTTGTGGGTAAAAAGGAGTCGTTGGTCACATACAATATACTGATCCCGAGATATAATATATTGTAGTTGTCGGCCACTGGGCTGAAGTAACTCAATTACGTTTTTTAGATCAATATTGGGATCAAAGATTATGGGATGTAAATAGCACTCTTTTTTGTCTTCATTTAAACCTGAAATGAAACTCCAATCAATTGAATGTAATATGCCCATCCAGGAAGTACTCGGCCTTGGCTATGGAACCTAGATTCCTTGATTGAGACATTGACTTTAGAGCCCTTGCCTTTGTTACCGGTGACATAATTATATACAGTCTTTTATATTCACTGACTGATTTAATATTCAGTTTTATCAGCTATAAGCGGGCGAACTCGACAAAAGGCATGCAAAAATGCCATTATTTTCGCGCAAAAAGCCATTCTCGTACTCAGAGCCCATCGTACGCGCGGTCATCGTCCTTACTCCGTTAGCTGTGCTCGCTAGGTGTTCTGGGTACAAGAATAGCAGTCGGCAAACGACCCACCCACCCGCCGCAGTGGAACAGCTTGGCTTGGGACGCTGATCAATATAATTCCGATTTTCCTAATTCAACTGAGCATGAATGACGAATGATAAGAAATAGTATTTTTTGCTATTGAAATGTTGGGTGTGAAACCAATGCAAGACCATGCATCAAGAACACCTTTGCATGCGACAAACATTTTTCAAGCTGTGAGCCCGTGACTTCAGATCCAAACTCATAAGATCGGAAAACCAGATTTTCAATTTTATTTGAAATTTGCATTATGAATTAAACAAAATAATGGTAACGTTATTAGTCCAAATGTTCTACGTACACGACGTATTCCGAGACGGTGCACACCGCGTCGCTGCCCCGTGGGCGGATTGCGCATATGCTAGCTAATTACGGAATTTATGGTACGATGACGTCATACCGATTCCTTCTCGCCTATTATTCCCAGTTTCAAAAAATGCCCTTGATCCTAAAAGAAATCCCGGTGTAATGTACGTGCCCCTACGTCACTTTGGCTACACAGCCTCGTTTTCGTGTATGTGATATAAGTTCAAGCCTAACATCTCAATAACAACAATGAGGCACTGTATGTGACGTAATGTGACGTACTTTCCGGAAGAGTTTATTACGATTTAAGAAATCAACGAACACTTAAAGTCCATTAGACTCACACTAACAGAACGATGAACACTAATTTATTGTTGCTCATTGTAACTCATTCGATAAGCCATGAACACCAGTTAACCTTTGTGGCACACATTTTAAAAAAATATTGTTAGATCAAGTAATAATCTAATTCAGCCTGGCGACTGCGATGTGATTTTAATAAATCTCTATATTTATCTACAACCCCAGACACAAAAGTGTTGTGACACTGTCAATATAATTAATTATGTTACTTGTCCTTTCCGTCCTCTTTCAATGTTGGTAAAACATAATATGTTAATTAGTCTAATTTCCCCGTATCGTACTTGACCCGCCGTGACCTGATCATGAACAAGTGATTCAAACAAAACATACATGAGGCTCTCTCCTCCGCAGAGGCTTTAGTTTTCTTAGGATTTAGTATTACGATGAGATACATTTCACTACACTTTACATGGCGGATAGTACATGAGGCATTTAATAATGATAGAGCAGTAAAGTTTGTATAAAATTATTTTTTGGAACCTTAGAAGTCGGAATCTTCCACAGACCGTGCTGAAATGCAAAAATATTCAACGTATATTCAACATATATGATATATTCATAAAATCGCCTTGAGCCAAGTGACAAATAATTATAAATGTATCACATGACAAAACTGCTACTGTAGCTAGGACAGGAAGTACATAGAATTCTCCGTAAAATGTATTCGCGGTATTCCTTATTCCATTGAAACAAATACAGCTTGCCAACAAGTACACACTCTTGCTACAAATTCGATCAACTGTTGCTGTTCATCAACTATGAGCTACGGTACATTAAGCAGGATTGAAACAATTGGCTCGGTGGACTCTCGTGACCTTGATTCTATCGCAACAATCTCTTCACACGAAGGGAATACAATTCAGGATCAACCAGATGGATTGCCGGCAATTCAGGAAGAATCCACAGTCCCTGGCTATGGTTTTGCTTCGACACTTGGATCAATTTGGTTGGAGCGATGGCACAACACTGGGCAAGCATACCATGGTTCATGTTGTAGTAAGATAAAAGCTTTCCTCATGTTTATTACGCTGCCTTTCTATGTTCTCCTCAGCCCTTTCTTTCGTTCGCGATCCACGCGGCGCAAAGTTACCCATCACGGCATCGTGTACTTTTATATCCTGATGGCTTCCAACATAGTCTTCAACCTTTGGGAACAGCAAAATAACATATCATATAAAGAACCATCCTATCAGTTCGTGCAATACTTTGAGGCTTCGATCATGCTGTTATCTTTGATAGCGATGGTGTACATCGCGCGGGCAACCAGAGGGGAAGTGAAGTGGACAATCCACGAGACAAACTTAATTTTCTATTTTCGTGCGGGTTTGTATGTGTTCGGTATCTCGAGCATGGTTTACACCGCGTTGAATATATACGACAACTTCAGTTGTAACGACAATCGTAATATTGTCTTGAATAGCGCAAAATTTTTGTTCATCACCTGTCAGATACTGTTCCTTAATTATTATTACCAAGCCAAGCTGCCAAGTTGTGGTTGGCTTATACAAGTAAGCCTTGCGCATATCTTGGGTACTAATTTGAGCCTTTGGATTTGGACGTTATGTAAAGAAGAGTCCGATCCTGAAAATGAATCGAAACTGAATCGCTATCCAATTCACTTGGGTCATACAGAGAAATACTTCTATCCTTTGTTCGTCGAGTACTTGTTGTTAGTCGCCAGCATGATCTATGAACTCTGGATGGATTTAAACGTACCTACCGATGCAAGGCGTTTGCCGCCACGTCAAGATTGGTACCGTGAAAAGTATCAGGAGGAATTAGAAAGTGGAAGGCTGAGCTTGTCTTCTAAAAATGAGGTGTCTCATCCTGTTCATCTGGTATCGAGCAGAAGACGTCGCAAGTTTGCTCCGAGCCTCGCATTCAGTTTTGTGCTTGGTCTGGCATTCAGTTCCATCTTCCTTGCCTTTTTATTGGCGGCAAATGATTCTGGAGGGAATTCATGGAAAGACAAGAAATGGTACACCAATTATCTTGTTGCCAACATTTGTTTGAATTCCACTCAAATGATCGCTTGTTATGTCGCCAAGGTTTGCAGCCAATCCCAGCCAGCCAACAGGTATCGTTTGTTTAATTAATTGTTTGTTTATTAATTGGTAAATATCATGTCAGTTGTTAGAGCTCGACAACTCGCTTCTTGTAGCTCAGTTGGTTAGAGCGCTGCCCCGAAACTGTTCGATCCACAAAACCCCTCGACTGCTTGTTTATTGACCGTAAAGGCACAGAAAAATGTTCAGCTTGTACAAATTTCTTTGCTTTACCACTTTGCACGAATTGTTTCCCACTTTGGCCCGCTTTCTATTGATCAGTCAATGCCAGCAGTGCCCATCCATATCCCCCCCGGGCCTTCGCAGCTTTCCTAATCCCGGGTGTAGCTATTGCCGAAATATTTTAGCCCGGGGGTGGGGACTTTCATGGCAATTGGCGGACTATAACATGGCAGATTTCGCTGGAAAAGATACTGTGTTTGTTTGCAAATGGCTTGACACTCATCCGTTAGGACGATCTTTCAGTACCATTGCCTTTCATCATTGATGAGTAAAATCCTTTGTTCACATGAAATAGTTTTTCTCCTTTTTCTCTATGAGTGCATCGCCGACCATCATAGTCCAGTAATTTTAGCTCATTTTAAGGCCAAGGTTGGAAAAAAAACAGTAAAAAGCTAAAAATTGTTAGATGCAATAATTTAACTATCCTGAACAATATACTAAAAGTCCCCATGGAGCTTTTTCAATTATGACAAGGTTTTTTTTCGATTTCCCTATTACTCCCATATATTGTTAAAAAAAGTGAAATTTAATCAAGTTCACTTATAACAAAAATGACTCGCATCACTAGAAAGTTCATAAAAACTACATATAAGACATTTAAACAGTCACCTAAATTTTTCAAGCGGTTTTCGAGTTATTGCTGTTCCAAATGTGAAAAATAGGCCAAAATCTGGCAAAAATCTTGGGTACTAGCCCGACAACACGTTTCCAACAGCTTATAACTCAAGAAGAACTTGCAAAATCAAGGTAGTCGTTTAAATGTCTTATATGTAGTTGTTTCTAATGATGTAACTTATTTTTCCTATAAATGAATCTGAAATTTCACTTTTTTAACAATATAGGAGTTCACTAGGGAAATAGAACAAAAAACTTGTCATAATGGAGAAAGCTCCCAAGAAGATACATGAGGACTTTTAGTATGTCATCAAGGTTGCTGAAGAGAGTGCATACGCTAATTTTTTGGCTTTTCATGTTTTTCTGACCTATTTTCTATTTTGATTGTACTAATCAGCGACATACGAAACTTGGCTAAGGTCCATACACAACGTCCGCGATTCGACAACACGACGCGATTTTTTAGTTTTGGAAAGTTAATAAAACAAATTAATAAAGTAAATTTTAAAAGATATTTAGACCAAATAACTCAAAATGTTGTAACGCCTTTAAATATTTAGAAAATTTAAACTAGGGTCAAAGTTATCGGTCAGTGAAAATCGAAAAATCGCGTGGCGTTGCATTTGTCGAATCGCGTCCGCTGTGCCTGGACTTTAATTAATTAATCAAGTATAAAGACAATATTTTCAAAGGTTGACATTAATATTATCGTATAGGTCTAGCTGGATGTGCTGAGGACTGAAGTTAGGGTTAAGAATTTATACAGCTGTTGCATTAATATAAAAGCATCTATATCCTTGTCGTAGAACTTCGCATTCATATTCTTACGTGTCGCCCACGTGTTTTTATGAAAAGTGTTGAAAACCTAAGATCGTTTTAGCATACCACTCAAAATCACGGCAGCGTTCCAACACTACAGTAAGTTTCACACTTTTTCCCGAGAAATAAGAAATACAAAAATTGAGAATGAAAACAACTGACATCCATGTTTCGGCGTGACGGCGTCCTACGCCTCATCAGTGCAGCTTGGTACACATCTAGACACGCGATGATTCATTGATATACATGCAACAATACTACACAGTACGTAAAAACCCACAAGTTGTAACAAACCTGCAGCAAACTTGTAGCAATGCTGTTCCAACAACTTGTCAAAAGGATGTTGTTCGCACTGCGTGCCTGTTCCCAGCTTGTTGGCAACTTGCTACACGGTTGCTGAGCTCAACAGACTTGTTCCAAGTTGTTCCAACAATTTGTTATCGTCCTGCAATTAAACAACTTGTGAACGATTTGTGATTGACAATTGATTGACAACCTTGTAGCCACTTTATAAAATAACAATATTATGCTTGCGATGTTACCCCGAGCGTGTATCCACACCGTGCAAGCTTAAAAAATTAAAAATATACCTGGCCACGGTGGGTATAGGCATATTTTTCAAGCTTGCCCGGTGTGATACACACTCAGAGTAACACCACAAGATACACACTCAGAGTAACACCACAAGATACCCACTCAGAGTAACACCACAAGATACCCACTCAGAGTAACACCACAAGATACCCACTCAGAGTAACACCACAAGCATCATATTCACCTGTACATTACACGAACACAGAAAAAGTCATGAATAACAATATAATTGCTGACAAGCTTGCTACAAGCCTGTTGCGAACACATCTTGTTGACAAGTTGTGAGATTTTTGTGTGTGTAGTTTTTATGTGTTATATTGTGTTGTGTTATTGTTCAGGAGAAAATGTTCTCGAGTGAAACGTTTCATAATGCGCGGTCGACTGGAAATTACCGTATGAAATATCTCACTCGAGAACATTTTCCTATATTTACGTTCGAAAGTTTGAATGAAATTATTATAAATCAGTTTTAAAACCACGTGTTAATTATCTTATTATTAGCATGACAAAATTACTGGATGCTGATTGGTTGAGAGGAGTACAATTATTTCATTAATTGTACTGCAGTACAATTAATGATTTTCCCAAAACAAACAAAATGGCGGAAAGGTATTTCAAAAAATGTGAAATGAAATTGCCCTGGAGGAACTAGATGAAAATACAAACAAAAGCACCAAAATTTGTTTTAACAAAAGAACTAAATTAAAATACGAACAAAAGCACCAAATTTTGGTTGAAAGTCTGGCAGGACTGGGCTTTGGCGAGAGAATATGATGTTGACATCGATAAGTATCCAATTTTGTCATGCTAATAATAAACAAATAATCATGCAATATTGCTCGTACAATTCGGGATTAATAATGCTCGTGATGTTTGGAAATTTGCCAAATTGGACTCGCCCCGGCGGCTCGTCCAATTTTGACAAAATTTCCAAACATCACTCGTACTATTAATTCCGAATTGTACTCGCCATCGCATGATTACCTATACTAATAATCATATTGATTATATTTTAATTACAATAGGAAACGTGCCTCACTCAACCTTGATGATGCCTTACTTTACTTTGGGTTGGCCGGGATCACACTGTGGGAAGGATTTCATTTTTATGGTCGACTTTTCGGACAAAATCGCGAACCAATTCACTTCGTTCATGGCATGCTTGCTTTGATTGAAGACATCACACAGACGGTGATTTTGGTCAGCGTACGTCGCTTATCAAGTAGGGATGACACAAATGCACGCGCGATAACAAATATGTCGCTGTATTTGCTTGCCACGAATCTTTCATTGTGGATTCAGAATTCTTTCTACATTGGACATCAGCTTGAATATCCTGGTGAGCATAAGAAGATTCTTGAAGAACACTTGGGTACTTTCGCTAGTATTCTCAATCCGATTATTATATTTTTTCGTTTCCACTCGGCAACTTGCTGTTATCAGATGTGGGTCATTTTCAGTCACACCAACGTGATTGAGAATTAGGTAATTTTTTAATCACAATGTAATGGTACGAATAATTTTTAAATCAACAGTTTTAAATTAATTTTATTGGCACATTAAAATGAATCGAAATTAACGGGGAATTAAGATGCGCTCGCATTATTACGCGTATCACCGTATAGGCAGCTCAAAAATACGCATAGAATTGCACCAAATGAACCAAACGTCAATTTATGAATGAGTTCGCGCCCATACGTAATTTCAAAAATTTTTTATCACTGCACATTTTTGTGCAAAGTTTAGCCGAGCAGAAGCCACGACCTAAAAATTTGTGAACACATCCTTTTAATAATGTGTAACCAAAAGACAGACTACAATTGATATATAAAATGATCCCAAAATCAACATGCACTGCAAAGCGCGCAGAGTTCCCCAGGGAAATTTGGGGGCCCAGGGCAAAAATTGATTCCATCTTCTAACACTTTGATTAAGAGTAACCGGGAGCATTCTCTCCGGGAAAATTTTGAAATCTGAGGTCCCAGAAATGGCCAAATCCTGCATTCTGGAAGTTTATACCTATATGTATACTGTATTTCAATGTAATTATTTTTGGGCCACTTTAACTGGTGTCCAGCGCAAATTGCCCTCTCCCTCTGGGTGGCCTTTCTATGACAGCGTAGTTTGATAATAGAGAGTTTTAGCTTGACGTTTACGGCAAACGTCAAGCCGCTAACGAAGTTTTTGATTTTACAACTTTATTTTAACAGCTTTTACAGCAGTTTTGAAATATATTAAACAATTATTAAACTTGCGTTCTTTAGCAATGATTTAAGAAAGCAAATTAACCACTAGTCACATGTATTCATCAAAGCAGTAAATGAAGATCTGGCGTTTGAAGTTTACGTTTGGCGTCATTCTCCTCCGCAGAGGCTTTGTAGATCTTTGTAGTTTGTTTTCTTTCTATATTGTAGTTTGTAGTTTCTTTCTATATATAACTGAAGTTTGACTACAGAGTTTGCGGACAGTAGCGGGCTAGGCAGAGAAGTGGGCGCGCGGGCGGAGCGAACGCGCGGGGTTAAAAGGGGGCATCGTTGACATTTGGAGATTTAACGACTACAAGCCTTCGTAGCAGTTCAAGCATGAAATTTATACCCCAAACGTAAACCTCAAACGCCAGACCTTCATTTACTGCTTTGGTGAATACGTTACTAGTGGTTAATTTGCTTCCTTAAATCATTGCTAAAGAACACAAGTTTAATAATTGTTTAATATATTTCAAAACTGGAGTGTAAAAGCTGTGATAATAAAGTTGTAAAATCAAAAACTTCGTTGGCGGTTTGACGTTTGCGGTAAACGTCAAGCTATAACTCTCTAATCATATGCTTGCAGGAACGAAATATTTTCGTCTTGGCAAATAATAGGTGGCTTAGATGTGACAAACTGTGAAAGAGTTCCAGGGGCATGCACCAACAGAAAATTTTGTAATCTAGCTTCTCTCAAAGTGCCTTTTTTTCAATGTGCGTGTGTCGTTCTATAGAATCCTGAAGATTATACACTAATACAATTACAAAAAGTTAAGTATCATTCACTCCAACATCCAAGGATTCCAAGCTCATAAAGAGATCTTTGATGGGAGACTTTGTTCATTTCATTTGATGAACCTTAAGTATAATATTAGTGCTGACGTTCGATAATTTGGCAGTTATTATTTCAATTTCGTTCAAGTTATTCTCATTCGAAATGTTTTGATTATTAATACTTTCTAGTGACAAGACGGATTTTTTAGTTCAGTATTTTTCTGCTCATTGCCTCATTTTCTTCATAAAATTGACAGTTTATCACAGCAAATTTTATCACTGCACATTTTACATTTTATCACTGCGCATTTCATTTTTATCACTGCACAAATTGGTTATCACTGCACACTAAAATTAGGTATGCTCGCGCCATTCTTCCGACATTGCGGCGCGCGACAAATGTCTAACTTATTTTCTAGTTGGATCAGTTTCTACTTTATTACTGATCGCGCGAACAAATTCGCCCAGTGGAAAATGGACTTAAGGCTGCCTATATATGGTATCACATTGTAACGTCGTTGCCCACAAGTCGACCTCGAACGAAATGCGTTTCTTCGAGGTCGACTTGTGGCAAGTCTAGCAAATGAGAACCATACAAATGATACAATAATGGTTCTAGTTCTTCTTGGTATTTTGAACGCACGCTTTATCTTTAGTATAGCTACCACAAAGCTTTTCGCGCGGATTATATTTCGTGGAGTACTAAATATTATATTTTGTGGTTTTCGAGTCATTACACAAAGAAAAACACATTAATTCAACACGCAAAAAAGTCCAGAGTACGACACAACGTAAAATACATAGGAAACCGGCACAATTCCTTGAAAATTCAACGAAACTGTGTAAAATATAGTTTGATCACTCTGTGAAAAACCGCCATTGCAGTTCGGAATTGTGCGCGTGCGTACAAGTGTATAGGCTAATAAACGAAAAATGTACCACAAGCATGGCATGAGTCGGCTATTACGTACATATATACGAGCTTATTACAATGCTATCTAAATCATGGAACCGAGGAAATCGATGGTATTTTGGCTTAATCGTTGCACCCTGAGCCTGCGATGAGCTAACGCAAACTCGTTTTCTCGACTACCAAAAGAACAGAAAAAGGGGGATTTAAGACACTTGGCCTTATAGCCCAGTGTAATAATACATGGGTGCGCGGAAATACCAGATTTATTTCGAGTGTTGAACGTGATATCTCACGAGTGAGCACAGCGAACGAGTGAGATATCATGTTCAACACGAGAAATAAATTTGGTATTTCCAAGCATGCATGTATTTTTCTGTTTATTATATAAACAAAATTCAGTGAAAAACAATAAAACGTCCGTGGCAATGCATTTCACAACAAATGATATTTTCACACGTAAAAATATCGTATTTTTACGTGTGTTTAAATACGATTTTTCTCAGCGGCCAAAAACTCTATATAACACTTATGTTTGTATAATAAAATTAATTATGTTACTTGCATTCTTTTCCGTCCTCTTTCAATGTTGGCAAAAACGGCGAAAAACCTCATGATTTACCAACATTGAGTATAGGATAGCAGGGAGAACGCTAGGTTAGGTGTCGCAACATTGTGGGAGATTGTAGCATATAGGGGTCGGGACGTCTGTTTCTGCATAGTCTTTCGAGACATGGTCGACTGGAAACTCCGCTAAATCGTCTATCTTTTTGTTCGCGTTTATGCAGTTTTGTGCACGGTGCAAGGTCATTGAACACATTGTATTCAGTATAACGAACGAATCATCCAATAGCAACGTTTCAGTTCAGTGATTCAACCATGCTATCTAAATATTAATAATATACCTAAAAAATATTACTCGATTGTGATTGGTTGATTTCAGTGCAGTTAAACCTAAAACAAAGGATGTGCACGCCGTAAGGTACGGCTCAAGTGCTCAACATAAAATCCCAGCTCATTAAAACCGCTTTGAAGTTTACTGAGTTTCCAGACAATGTCTCGAAAGACTATGGTTTTTGATATTTATGATATTAAGATATCTACGATGATATTCGCCTATAATGTCAATATGTTAATTAGTCTAATTTCAAATCAACGTATCCTTGACCCGCCGTGACCTGAATAATTTCTATTGAGACAAGTATCATGTTATTGATATTTTGGCGCATAGTTCCAACACAGTATTAACTGTGGTTCAAACAAAATACATGAGGCATTTAATAATGATAGAGGAGTAAAGTTTGTATAAAATTATTTTTATTTGGAACCTTGGAAGTCGGAATCTTCCATAGACCGTGCTGAAATGCAAAAATATTCAACGTATATTCAACAAACGTATATTCAACATATATGATATATTCATAAAATCGCCTACAGACAAGTGACAAATATAAATGTATCACATGACAAAACACTAGCTATACTGTAGGACAGGAACTACATAGAATTCTCCGTAAAATGTATTCGCGGTATTCCTTAATTATTCCATCGAAACAAATACAGCTTGCCAACAAATACACATTCGTGCTACAAATTCGATCAACTATAGCTGTTCATCAACTATGAGCTACCGTACATTAAGCAGGATTGAAACAGTTGGCTCGGTGGACTCTCGTGACCTTGAATCTATCGCAACAGTCTCTTCACACGAAGGGAATACAATTCAACCAGATGGATTGCCGGCAATTCAGGAAGAATCCACAGTCCCTGGCTATGGTTTTGCTTCGACACTTGGATCAATTTGGTTGGAGCGATGTGACAACACTGGGCAAGCATGCCATGGTTCATGTTGTAGTAAGATAAAAGCTTTCTTCATGTATATTACGCTGCCTTTCTATGTTCTCCTCGGCCCTTTCTTTCGTTCGCGATCCACGCGGCGCAAAGTTACCCATCACGGCATCGTGTACTTTTATATCCTGATGGCTTCCAACATAGTCTTCAACCTTTGGGAACAGCAAAAAAAAAAATCATATGAAGAATATAAAGAACTATCCTATCAGTTCCTGCAATACTTTGAGGCGTCAATCATGGTGTTTGCTTTGATAGCGATGCTGTACATCGCGTGGGCAACACTCGGAGAAGTGAAGTGGACTGTCCACGAGGCAAACTTAATTTTCTATTTTCGTGCGGGTCTGTATGTGTTTGGTATCTCGAGCATGGTTTACACTGCGTTGAATATATACAACGACTTCAGTTGTAAGGATGGTCTTAATATTGTCTTGGATATTGCGAAATTTTTGTTCATCGTCTGTCAGATACTGTTCCTTAATTATTATTACCAGGCCAAGCTGCCAAGTTGTGGTTGGCGTATACAAGTAAGCCTTGCGCATATCTTGGGTACTAATTTGAGCCTTTGGATTTGGACGATATGTAAAGAACACGAAACTGAAAACGAAGACATTAAGCTTCGGAAACCTTGCTCTCCTCCGATTTACTTGGGTAAAACAGAGAGATACTTCTACCCTTTGTTCGTGGAGTACTTGTTGTTAGTCGCCAGCATGATCTATGAACTCTGGATAAATTTAAACGTACCTGCCGATGAAAGGCGTTTGCCGCCACGTCAAGATTGGTACCGTGAAAAGTATCAGGAGGAATTAGAAAGTGGGGTGTCTCATCCTGTTCATCTAGTATCGAGTAGAAGACGTCGCAAGTTTGCTCCGAGTCTCGCATTCAGTTTTGTGCTTGGTCTGGCATTCAGTTCTATCTTCCTTGCCTTTATATTGGCGGCAAATGATTCCGGCGAGAAATGGTACAACTATTATATTATTGCCAACATCTGTTTGTACTCCACTCAAATAATCGCTTGTTATGTCACCAAGGTTTGCAGCCAATCCCAGCCAGCCAACAGGTATCGTTTAAATATCATGTTAGTTGTTAGAGCTCGACAACTCGCTTCTTGTAGCTCAGTACGTTGGTTCGAGCGCTGCACCGAAACTGCTCCATCCACAAAACTCTTCTACTGCTTGTTTATTCGATCACCGTAAAGCCTGGTTCACACTAACAATTTCGTCGGCCATTTTGTGTTTCTGACGGATGCAAATGAGCGAACTCGCCACAAATCCTTAGAGTGTCCTCCAGATATGCTACCTAACAATATCTGTTCGGGTACAACCACCTGCATGCATACAGCGCAAAAACTAACCATTTTGATACAGAATTATTATAAAGATTTACAAAATTTGCTTTATTTACAAAAGTTATATCATGCACAGATTGCTAATTTGTCCTCCAGATCGCAATGGGTCTATAGAGCCGCTTTTCAGAAGTAAACAATTCTAAGTCTTTTGCATGCCATTCATTCGATCGCATTTGCCAGGAGAAGAAAAATCGCCGACAGAATAGACCTTTCCCATTTTAAGTGAAATTTTGATCTAGACTAGTATGGACAAAAATTTCATCACAGCTTGAAAGAACATCACAAAATTAGTAATATTCCGAAATTTCGTTGCGGAATGTTGTAAAATGCGGATAATATAACCTTGCGAAGTTTGCCGTTTTTCAGTCATTTTGTATTACAAACGGGAAATTGATAATCGGTCATCTGATTATCAATTTCCCGTTTGTAATGCAAAATGACTGAAAAACGGCAAACTTCGCAAGGCTATATTATCCGCATTTTACAACATTTTGCAACGAAACTTCGGAATAATTACTAATTTTGGTATGCTCTTTCCAGCTGTGATGAAATTTTTGTCTAGATCATTGCTAAGCCCCGCGCTGCAATCTATGTAAAAACCTTTTCCCGGAGTAGATCACATTCACATTCACTGCGATTCCAAAATGGCATAACTATAATTTTCTTACGTGTCGTCCACGTGTTTTTATAAAAAGTGTTGAAAACCTAGCATACCACTCGAGATCACGGCAGCTTTCCATGTACCTACAGTTTCACACTTTTTCATGAGAAATAATAAATAAAAAATTGAGAATGAAAACAACTGACATGCACGTTTCGGCGTCCTGCGCCTCATCAGTGGACCATGAGCTTGGTACACATCTAGACACGCGATGACTTTCGTATTGATATACAGGGTGTATAAGAAAACCGCAACCTCGGAATTTCCTAAGAAATCACTTTGCAATTCTTAAGCATAAAAGATTTTAGGCCCCTGGGAATTGAAATCGAATTGCTAATAGATCATATTACTGTTGTTGTGCATTAAATAAATGTATAAATTTTGCTTTATGCACTCGCGTGTGCAGTAATTTTGACAGTTATGCTATTTTAAATTCACAGGCGCCTAAAATCTTTTGTCTTTAAAACAATGTCGATGTCTTGGGAAATTCCGAGGTTGCGCTTTTTTTTATACACCCTGTACAGGGTGTCCCAAAAAACCCCGAAAACTATTGAAATCACTTATTGTTAAATTTGAATGTCCTACCAAACAGCTGGACGTAATGATGCGTAAAATATTGACAAGGTGCATGTATTAGAATTTAGTTAGGAATATCTCCTGGTAAAGTGCGCGATTTTCTGCTCCTGGGAATTAAAAACAGCTTCTTAAACAGTTTCTTTATGCATAAAATTTACTTATGTCAATCAGAGCGCTAAGGCATTCAAATTCTAACAATTAAATTGTTATTGGTGATTTCAATAGTTTTCGTTTTTTTGGGACACCATGTACATGCAACAATACTACATACGTAAAAACGCACAAGTTGTAACAAACCTGTAACAGAAAGACTCTGCAGAATTGTAAGTTGTAACAATGCTGTTCCAACAACTTGTCAACAAAGATGTGTTCGCACTTCGTGCTTGTTCCCAGCTTCTTGGCAAGTTGTCAACAGCTTGTTGTCGTTGTTGACAACTTTCTACAAGGTTATTGAGCTCAACAGACTTGTTACAAGAGAGGATCTAGATGGGGTGGTGCCCAAAACAGTAAACATTATATTTTTTAGTAATATAACCGAGTAAAGATCCATACAGACCAGACGCGATTCGACAACGCGACGCGAAGTTTTAGTTTTTAAAAACAAATAAAACCGTCAACGGATAAAAATTTTATAAGATTGCAGACCAAATAGTTAAAATTGCTTAGTGGTTCCGAATATTTGAAAAACAGAAAAATATTGAAGTTTGAAAATTGAAAATTCGCGTCGCGTTGCCAAATCGCGTCTGGTCTGTATGGACGACCTTCACGGTCATACAGTAAAATTTTGCGAATTTCACGAAGACGTAAAAAAGCACTTATAATTGCTCCCAGAATTTAATGTATGCTGTTAATTATACGTGGATCACACAAAAATAAATGAAGTTTGTGTTGGGGAAGCAAATAGACAGTCTTCTAAGACCATCAAAGACATATTTTGTAATTGTCACATCCATTTGATGCATATGCGCATATGTTGACCTGCATGAAGGCACAGAAAGATGTAGGTGCTGGGTAAGGTGACAAGTGACATAAAAGATATAACAGCTAGGGGCGTAAGCTGGGCGTAGGAAACTTGTAAATTTTAGGGGGGTGACTCCCACGAGGCGCCAACCATGGTTGGCGCTGAGCGGAAAAAAATTGAAAATTTGGATTCCAGATCGTCGGAAATGGCATTTTCAGGATCTTCTCTACCACTTTCGTTAAAGCCCTTTCAAATTCTGTCATTATGATTTGTAAGCTATCCATGAGCCAAGATGGATGATTAATATTACAGTAACTTCCCGATGAATCGCGATGATCAATGCAATCGAACTTGCACTTGCATGTGTATGTCATACTTATACCCGCAAAAAATGTTGTTATTAAAATAACAATATAAAGACTATAAACAATTGCAGATACATTATCAATATGATATATACGGTTTCGAATACGAATATATTTATTTTAATAAACAATTGCAGATACATTATTAATTTGATATATACGATTTCGAATACTAATATTTTTTGGGGTGGCGAAAGCTATCTCGCCCCCTCCCCCTTATAAAATATTTGGGGGGAGTCCCCCCAGCCTACGGCCCTGAGCTATAAAGATCTGTAAGACCTGTAAATACACTCTGACGGCGCTTTTTATATAGTTTTCTGAAATTTAGTAGTTTAAGGCTTTAGTCGTGGTATTTTTTGGTCTTTTTGAAATGCGTTAGACTTTTTATAGTAATTACAACACTTAATTGCTAAGTCTTCCATGACAGTAAACAACAAATTTTTTAGCGTTTCAACATTAAACACTACAGAACATGGGCCGTCAACACTAAACATTAAACCCCATCTAGAACCTCTTACAAGTCGTTCCAACAATTTGTTATCGTCCCGCAATTCAACAGCTTGTCAACAAGTTGTGAGTGACAACCTTGTATAGCCACTTGATAAAATAACAATTAATATTGTTAGAATTTGTTGACAAGCTTGCTACAAGCCTGCATGTTGCGAACACATCTTGTCAGTGACAAGTTGTAAGATTTTTACTACTGTGTAGTTCTGCAAGTGTTATATTGTGTTGTGTTATTGTTCACTCGGTGATATGATAAGGAGAAAATGTTCTCGTGTGAGACATTTCATAATGCGCGGTCGGCTGGAAATTATGAAATACCTCACTCGAGAACGTTTTTATATATTTATGTTCGAAGGTCTGAATGAAATTATTATAAATCAATTTTAAAACCACGTGTTAATTATTTAATAATCATTTTGATTATATTTTACAATAGGAAACGTGCCTCACTCAACCTAGATGATGCCTTACTTTACTTTGGGTTGGCCGGCATTACACTTTGGGAAGGATTTCATTTTTATGGTCTACTTTTCGAAAAAAATCGCGAACCAATTCACTTCATTCATGGCATGCTTGGTTTGTTTGAAGACCTCACACAGACGGTGATTTTGGTCAGCGTGCGTCGCTTATCAAGTAGGGATGACAAAAATGCACGCGCGATAACAAATATGTCGCTGTTTTTGCTTGCCACGAATTTCACATTGTGGATTCAGAATTCTTTCTACATCGAACAACAGCTTGAAAATCCTGGAGAGCATCACGAGACTCTTGAAGAACGCTTGGGTACTTTCGCTAATATTCTCAATCCCATTATTATATTTTTTCGTTTCCACTCGGCAACTTGCTGTTATCAGATGTGGGTCATTTTCAGCCACACCAACGTGATTGAGAATTAGGTAATTTTTGAATCACAACGCAATGAATAAATTTTAAATCGACAGTTTTAAATGAATTTTATTGGCACATTAAAATGAATCGAAATTAACAGGGAATTAAGATGCGCTCGCACTATTACGCATATCACCATAGGCAGCTCAAAAATACGCGTAGAACTGCACCAAATGAACCAAGACCTATATCACTTGCCTTTTCGGTTGGCTAAGCCGTTATGTCTGGCCGCATTTAGACCACTACTAATACGGAAATATTACGAATAGCTCCACAACACATGCCCGAATTCACCTTATCCATCATTGATAAGTTGCACTCGAAACACCTGGTAACTCCATAAGATCCTGCATGATCGATTTTTCTAAAGCTTCCGATCGCGTTGACCACAATATCCCCCTGGAGAAACTTTCAAATCTCAATGTTCCCTCCATACTATTGAACTGGTGTGCAAATTTCCTAGAACACCGTTATTCCCGAGTAAAAATGGGTAACATAAAATCTGATTGGAACGAAATTAATGCTGGTGTCCCACAAGGAACTATACTTGCCCCCTTGTTCTTCCTTATAATGATAAACGATCTCACAACAACCCTACCCTTAACACAAGTATGTAGACGATTCCAGGTCAACCAATTATACTATGCTCCAAACGGACCTCAACATCGTCAATAACTGGACAGAAGCTAATAACATGCGCCTTAACATAAAGAAAACGAAACCCCGTTAGCAATCGATCAGCTCATCTTCAATAACATCGAACATGTTCAAAACAGAGCGATAAAGATTATGTTCCCTCATCTCTCATATACTGCTTCTCTCGATCAATCGCGATTATCTACACTCCACGAACGCGGAGAGAAACAATGCTTGTCTTTGTATAAATCTGTTTTAAATCATGATAACAAATACATCATGAACTTCTTCCTGATCCTGTTAACCATAAAAATCATCTTAGGAACCCTCGAAAGTATCCTCTTTTTAAATGTAGAACAGAACGTTTTAAAAACAGTTTCATCCCATGCATATTGTGTCAAAAAATAGGATTCAATTGAGATGACCCACTCAAACTAATGTGCTTGCGACATTGCGGCGCGCGACAAACGTCTAGCTTATTTTCTACTCGTGTTTTTGGGCTGCCTTGCGCTCCCTTAAGGCTAATTTCCACTCCGGAAAGTAAGCAGCGGATCGGACTGGATCCGAACAAAACAAAATCGGCGCATGTACCATTAGTAGAAATTTTTGGTTCCGATTGATCGGGCGACGTTGCTGGTGGATAATAAAAAGTTGAAATATTTTCAACTTTTCCTGGTCCTGTCCCGCGGATTAAACCTGACGACCATGCAATCAAAATGTCGTATTATCATTATCTCACATAAATTAAAATGATTAAATAATACCTATATAAAATTTACAAAATGGATCGAGGATGTGAGACTGGAACGAGCTCAAATTTTTCCTTTTCCGATCCGATCATTCCACTTGTCCTTTTACTGGAAATCGCTTGTTGGGTCGAAGAAACTTTTGATCCGGTCTGGTCTGCTGCTTATTTTCCGGAGTGGAAATTAGCCTTTAAAGGCAATTTTCCATTGCATCGCTTTGCCCGCGCGGGCGGAGCGACCAATTTTAATCACGTAAAAAATCAGTCGAGCGGGCACGCCAAGAAAGTTGAATGTATAGTTCTACTTTCATGGCGTGTCCGCGAGCATTCAGCCTGATTCAGGCGGACAAAAAATGCGTAGGATAGACAACTATACAGCGAAAGTTGAGTAATCTTCAATTTTCCCGCTCGGGCAAAGCGACTGCAATGGAAAATTGCCTTAATTTAAGACAATTTTTGACTAGGCAAATTTAATTTGTTCGCGCGAAGCGAAAAACACTGAAATCTTGGCAATGTGATTGGATTAGTTTCTACATTTTTACTGTTTGCGCGAACAAATGGGGACTCTGGCAGGAAAAAGAAGAAAATCCAATTTGGAAGGTAATTGGATTTATTGGAAGGAAATTGGAGTACATTGCCAGGAAAATTGACAGGAAATTTTAGTAATCCAAATTCCAAGGCATTTTAATTTACTAAAATTGCATGTCCCGTTGGTTCGTCATGCTGTAACTTCGGTATGCAGTTACGCACCCGGCGACTTAGTGGTCTGCATATGCAGTCACGGCTTATGATCTAATTAAAGGCTAGTTTCCACTCAGCAAAATTATCCGTGAATTGGAACGGACAAGAACATTTTTCTTTGTGTTAAAGTCATTAGTACCAACCCAGAGCTCACAAGACAAAGAAAAATTTTCTTGTCCGTTCCAATCCACGGATAATTTTTCTGAGTGGAAACTAGCCTTAACGTCCACTCTCCACTAAACAAGCCTAATAGGTATCATAGGTATCTAATAGACACTCGAGTCAAAGCAGAATTTATTAATAGACGTCTCTTTCTATTGAACGCCCCTCGTCAAAATGCCGCCTCCCTAAAGAGGTGTGTGTTAGATGAACTTTGTTAATGTAAACACGCATTTGAGCATAAATCGTAGGAGCTAGAGGGGAAAGAGTTCCAACTTTAACAGCCATATACAAACAACGACTGTTAAAGTTGGAACTCGTACCACTCTCCTATATAGAGAGATGAAAGATCTCGTGTTTTTCTTCAAGGCGTAGTATGGTTACGTCGATCTTAACATTGATTAACAATCGAGTCTCTTAATATTCATTCAACATGAGCTCGACTCAGCCAAGGCACTGTTGTAATGCTTCAAACTCCCATGTGCAGAACTGCTACGATTCATTCTTCCTATTTCAACCGTACTGCCAGACCGTAGAACAGTATAGGACAGTGTATGTCAAGATGTCAATCCAGATACATTTTCTAGCGCTATCTCTTTCAGAATCTTTAGCACTTTAGAACTTCTACGCTCAGTTTATGATGTTGACTATCCTGTATTTGTCACTGAGAATAGCAAAGTTAAATGTGCGTTTAATAGTCTATTGTTAAGCGTTTAATAATGAAAACTTTATTAATAGAACATTTATAGATATATACAATTGTAAATCTCACTTCTTGAGGTAACCTACAATTGACTACTTGAATCACTTATACGTGCATGGTTATAATTTTATATACAAAAATTACTACTTATTTACAGAAATAGTTACTTTAAATGTTCATTAGTTCGGGATTTGTCCATTCTTTATTTCTACAGCAAATATGTAGTACGTTGATCGGATGGCAATAAATATAATTTTTCTGATACAATATTGTTGGTGTTGATTATCCAGTCCTAACTCATTTAGCATTTTTACGAATAATAATAATAATAATAATATATATATATATATATATATATATATATATATATATATATATATATATATATATATATATATATATATATATATATATTCAAAATATATAGACCATTCAGAGTTTGGGCCGCCTGTGGACTGATAACTAAATAAATATTAACCGCTGTCCAAACATACTGGCTCACTACCACATAATGATGCAAATTATGAATGCACCGCGTATAATGCTCGAACCACCGCGTATAATGATGTAAGCACCGCATATAATGCCGAAAGCACCGCATATAATACTCGAACCACCGCGTATAATGCTAGAACCACCGCATATAATGGTG